CGAAGTGATTTTGTACTATTCGTTTATTTTTGCACGAGATTTTCAAGATTGTTTGTATGAATTTCACATGATTTGTTTGCTTGTAGAACCAATTTGGAGTTCAACAACCCCAACAACAGCAAATTTGATCCCTCTGAGAATTCAAAGTAAAATCTGTCATGAGCCAATGTGGCCCATCAGGCTGGCGTTTAACGCCGGTTTCAGTAGCATGAAACGACTCAGAATATTTCTGTTCCCCCAGGATGGGATGCTAGTCCATTGTAGGTTTTTCCACAGCTAGTGCTGGTACCTATTTATACTCCTGGGTGGAAAGAGGCAAGTGTGGGTGAAATGGCTTGCCCAAGGACACAACATATGTCCAGCAGCTGGATTCAAACCCCTGACCCTCTGATCATGAGTCACAAACCCTAACCAATAGGCCACACACCCCCATTTTAAGAACTTCACAAATTTATAGTAATTCAATGTAGGGCTTAAACTCACATTAGCAAGATCCCGTTTTCATTAATCCAAAAATAAGTGCAATTCACTTTTGGATTTTGATTAAAAACTTTAAATAGCACTTTTGCAAATTAGGAAAGCCTCCTAATCAACCTCGTCCCCAGTGCTCACTTTATTTCCAACCTAGTTTCCAATAGTAAGCCCTGGATAGGAAACTTTCTTCCTGAATCCTGATTCGTTACCGCAACTGGCTAGTAATGGCTTTTTATCGTGTACTCGGTGCTATTATTCACAACGTGCAGTACGTGTTTTCGCAACCTCATCCCCAGGGTGTCGAGCAGTATGCGCCCACCACTACCTGCTCTCTCACCCTGGTATTGGATCATTTGCATGTGCAAGATTTTTGAACACGTATGCAAATTAGGAGTAGTCTGGTGCCTGCCTGTGTGTTACATTTGCGTTTGTTTTTGTATGCGGTGTCTGGGGTAAAACAGAATCAATTCGTCGCAGCGCAAGCATGGCGTGAGTTACGAAAACATGATTTTATTTTATTTTAAACTGTTACGATCTTAACGAGACAACATGCAGTATCACATTTCATATTAATATTAACAAACTGGAAAGGAAATGAATATTTTCGAGAAGGCTTGGACGAATGATCGCGAAAACACGTACTGCACGTTGTGAATAACAACACCAAGTACACGATATAAATCCATTTCTAGCCAATTGCGGCATCGAATCAGGATGCAGGAAGGAAGTTTCCTATCCAGGGTTTACTATTGGAAACAACGTTGGAAATAAAGTAAGCACTGGGGACGAGGTTGGTGTTTTCGCGATCATTCGTCCACGCCTTCTCGAAAATACTAATTTCCTTTCCAAATGCTCATATCAATATGAAATGTGATACTGCATGTTGTCTCGATATAAGATCGTAACTGTTTAATTCCAAAAATCGTGTTTTCGTAACTTACGTCGTGCTCGCGCTGCGACGAATTGACTCTGTTTTTTACCCAAGACACCACATACAAAAACAAACGCTAATGTAATGCATATCCAGGCACCAGACTATTCCTCATTTGCATACGTGTTCAAAAATCTTGCACATGCAAATGATCCAATACCAGAGTGAGAGAGCAGGTAGTGATGCGCGCGCACTGTTCGACACCCTGGGGACGAGGTTGGGTTGACCCATGTTATTGTTCAAACAAATTCTAATTAGGGCTCGAAGAAATTACGTCTTGCATCCAGAAGAAATTAGCCCATCCCAGTGCCCTGTTTTAGAGCAGTGGGTACGAGTGAAGAGAACCGCATGGACGGGACACACCTCGCGTGTGTGCTGGTTTGCGCACGTATAGCGCGTAGTACGCACAACTAATTGTATTATGAATGTGTACAAATCCATAGCGTCTTCGCGTGAGCGTCAGGCGCATCGGCATGCGTTTGAATGTCTCTCCGAGCAGTCTCCCCCAATGCTCCCTTTCTTACCGTTGAGAGGGTAATTGACCTATCGCCGTTTGCGAGTTAGCCACGCCCCTTAGACAACCGTACGGAATTTTTGTATGCTAAGTTTTGTTTGTCTCAGATGTTGCGTGTTCCGCGTCCATTTGTTTATCATGTAATCAGTAATTGGACAATATTTCACAAGCTGCGTTGATGCGATTCTAACGCGAATCTACTGCGATATGTCAATTGTGCACAGAGCCCATACTGTTCAATGTAGAGTAGCAATTCTTGAAATAAGTCTTGCATAATTCTTGAAAGCCATGCACTAATATAATCCAAGGACATTGCCGTCTTCTTAATGGATAAGCTAAACTGCTGAGCTCACGTACATTGTACGTATCCTATGTGAGTGACAACTTTTGTGTCAAGATAAGGCATCAACACAAAGAAAGCTACACAAAAACACGATTCCATTTTGCACAACCACTCAGTGTTAACACCCGCTAATGCTGCTTGGAAAAGAAAACAAGTAAACAAATACAATTATTGTATGCAACCTGACGTCAGAAACGCTAATGTAATTGTGAAATTGTACTTTAAGCACAGGCACTTTTCTTAAAATGTTACTTCCTTAGGGAGGAATTGGAGCTGATTTTTTTATATGCCATTACCGGTAGGTTACAGTGGTACATTAGGCCTAACCTTAACCAAACAGTTGTGAAATTTAATTTATTTACATATGTCAATCCATTAGGAAAGGTCTGAGAGAGTGTGCTTCTCATAGTCACAATATAATGTAGTCAGAGAAAACTTGTCTTTCTATGGAATCACTCCCAATGTGAAGCCTTGCTTTCATCTTTACATTAGTGATAGTATATCACATTATGTTGCAAAATTGTCTTTTTCTTAAGTATTTTTCTTCTTCTTAAAGACAAAACTCATTTTAGATTGTAAAGTCTCATTTGAATGTGAAGCCTTGCTTTCATCTTTACATTAGTGATAGTATATTACATAATGTTGCAAAATTGTCTTTTTCTTAAGTATTTTTCTTCTTCTTAAAGACAAAACTTTTAGATTGTAAAGTTTCATTTGACTTAGGAAGATAGGTAAATTTGGCTGTGTTTGGGAAGGTTGCAGGTCCCAAACCTCAGTCCCAGGTCAACTCAGTCCCAGGTCAACTCGGTCCCTGGTCAAGTAGGTCCCAGGTCAACTTGGTCAACTCGGCCCAAGGTCAACTTGGTCCTAGGTCAACTCGGTCCCGGGTCAACTCGATCCTAGGCCAACTTGGTCCCAGGTCAACTCGGTCCAAGGTAAACTCGGTCCCAGGTCAACTCAGTCTCAGGTCAACTCGGTCCCAGGTCAACTGGGTCCCTGGTCCACTTGATCCCAGGTCAACTCGATCCCAGGTCAACTCGATCCCAGGTCAACTCAATCCCAGGTCAACTCGGTCCCAGGTCATCTCGGTCCCAGGTCAACTCGGTCCCGGGTCAACTCGATCCCAGGTCCACTGGATCCCAGGTCAACTCGGTACCAGGTCAATTAGATCCCAGGTCAACTTTGTCCCAGGTCAATTCGTTCTTGAGAGTCAACTTGGTCCTAATTTTTACATTAGTGATAGTATATTACATTATGTTGCAAAATTGTCTTTTTCTTAAGTATTTTTCTTCTTCTTAAAGACAAAACTCATTTTAGATTGTAAAGTTTCATTTGACTTTGGAAGATAGGTAAATTTGGCTGTGTTTGGGAAGGTTGCAGGTCCCAAACCTCAGTCCCAGGTCAACTCAGTCCCAGGTCAACTCGGTCCCTGGTCAACTAGGTCCCAGGTCAACTTGGTCAACTCGGCCCAAGGTCAACTTGGTCCTAGGTCAACTCGGTCCCAGGTCAACTCGATCCTAGGCCAACTTGGTCCCAGGTCAACTCGGTCCAAGGTAAACTCGGTCCCAGGTCAACTCAGTCTCAGGTCAACTCGGTCCCAGGTCAACTGGGTCCCTGGTCCACTTGATCCCAGGTCCACTGGATCCCAGGTCAACTCAGTCCCAGGTCAACTCGATCCCAGGTCAACTCAATCCCAGGTCAACTCAGTCCAAAGTCAACTCGGTCCCAGGTCAACTCGGTCCCGGGTCAATTCGATCCCATGTCCACTGGATCCCAGGTCAATTCGGTCCCAGGTCAACTTTGTCCCAGGTCAATTCGGTCTGAGTCAACTCGATCCTAATTGACCTCGAACCCTTGTCAACTTGGTCCCAAAGGTCACCAAAAAATGGACACAAACAAAGGTCAGATAAATTTTAAGGTCTCTTGTATTGTTGATGTAGTGCCTTGCTAGAGCATTTTTTTTTTAAATTTCAGCATTGACCTGGGACCGAGTTGACCTATGACTGAGTTGACTTAGGACCAAGTTGACTCGAACCGAATCGGTTTGGGACCGAGTTGACTCGAAACCTTTGAGAATGGGCCAGTAGTTTGGTACTTGTGGGATAGGCTACGGCGATTCCAACAAATTTTGGAAATAATGTCGATTCATTCTGAATTCACAATACCTTTTGGGATTAAATCTATTTCTGTCCAAGAAAAGGCGTGAGGAACGAACTCCATGTTTTCAATTGTGAACGACAGTACTGGATCACTTTGTGCAACATCATTAGTAGGAGTCATATTTTGTAAAAAGTCACAAATATACTTGATTGTGACTTGGAATCGCCCAAGCCTAATGTCAGGACATTTGGAGAGAAAGGTTAGCTATTTTAAACTCAACTACATGTAAGGGACTAAATATTAGCAGTGTTTTTGGTGGATTGGGTCCTCGCAGGGGAGTGTTCTGCTTGTGTCCTTAGGCAGGCTATTTTACTGCAACTTTTGTGTGCTAACGGGTACCTGTATTCAGGGAAGAATATTGTTCTTGTTGGAAGTGGTTGTCAATGTTGGTTTAACGTTTTGTGGGCGATGGTGTTTTTGTAAAGTGTTTTTGTTTGTTTGATAAGATTTGAAGGCTAGGATGGTGAATATACTGGTAGCAATAAGATAAAAACGTTTCGGACAATATACTCTGTGTTGTGTTTTTTTGGTGTGTTTTACTTATGAAAATGTTCTTTGTCTTTTTTTTGCACCGACAGACGAAAACACCGCTAGCCGACAATAAGACACACCACTCCGGCTGTATGTTCTGTGATCCGGTCCTGTCGCCGTTAATTGAAGCCAAGCACGCAAGCATGCACCGCGGTAGGAGAGGAGGGGGCAGAGGAAGGGGGCGTGGCAGGGGGCGAGGTAGGGGGCGGGGTCGAGGCGGCAAAGCACCCAAAGATAAAATGTCACAGTTAGCCGCCTACTTTGTGTAGGGATGCTGTCTTACGACAACAGTTGTGACATCTGAGATTCGCCAAAAAAACAACAACAAGAGGCTAAACAAATATATAAACTTGCTCCTCAGGCCAAAAAAAAAAGTCTCCGGTTTCTGGTATGGAGCTTGCCCAAAAAGTGGTGCGGCAACGCGGCTTTTTTTTTTTTTTTTACCTGATTTGTTTTGCCTCAAATGTCGGCTGATGACTGCAAATGGTGCCCGACTAAACTTAGTGCAAATATATGGGAGTCCAGAGAGGCCACATAGAGCTTATTCTCTATCATAACCCCATCCAAAAATACGTTAAAATTGTGCAGCAGCAGGATTCCAGTCAAACCAGTGAGTTTGGCGGTTTTGAGACATCATCTTTCATTGAAAAAAATTTTTTTTCGCATACCAGAAACCGGAGACTTTTTTTTTTTGGCCTAAACAAATATATCAGCTTGTTCCTTTTTTGTTTAAAGATACATCATAAATTGCCTACATCTATGCAAAATGGTGGGTTTTAAAGAGACATTACGGCCTGCAATGCACCCGATTGGGCTACAAAACGTGTGTTAAATGAAATTATATTAATTGGAAAGAGCATTTAAAGGTAGGATATAAACATCCACACAACCATCCTTTAAAAAGTGGGCGTTTTTTGTGTTTTTCTTCCGAGAACCACGCAAGAACGAATTTCGGGGCGACCATTTTTACTCCGAAAAATCGAGATGCGAGTGCTAGTTGTGAGTCCTGCCGTAAGTTGATACACATTCTGCAGACTGTAAGAACCAACATTTGTGACTGATGCATTAGGTTTGTTTCCTTTCAACCAGACCTTTGAAATAAAGCATTCCCAAAACGTGAAATTTTTGGAGGGGTTCAGGCCGCAATGCCCCTTTAATTGAACACATGTAGTATGAAAACTGTCAAATACAACTGAAATGTAGTTTTCTAGTCTATAGCTGGCAGCCATACATACTTTATAATTGATTTCTTCAAGTCAGATCGAGACTATGATTCTGATGAAATCATTCACAGTGTCCACTGGTTATTTTACCGAACTTGTCCAATGCTGATTTTGAAATTATATATTTAAAGGGAAGATACAACATTTGCAAACATCAAAAAACGAAATGATCAAATTATCACGAAATATCTCACTGGATTGTTAGGGAATGACAGCCTAAAGCATCCTTTAAAGTTGCGGCTCCTGGTGTGCTGACATTTTCAAGAAAAAGTTAATCTTTCCAACGCTGGTCGGCCGACCAGCGTTGAAGAAAACTGGCTTTTTTTTTCAAAAAGTGCTCCTAATTTAGTTCGTCTGCGTTTTCTTTGCAATTGATTACACACCTGTGAAAACTACAAGCCTGCTGACTGATTCTCATGATCTTACAATTCCCCAAAGTCTCTAAATTGCTCCGGTTCACCTTAAGTGGCGTCAGGGAACCTGACTCAAGAATATGATTGGTTTTCTTGGTTTTCCAGCATCTACGAACCCAAAACGTGAAACGGTCAGTGTATCAATATTTGCTATAACATACTAATCCTCCAGATCCATTTATTTCTGAAAATTGCGGCAAAAGCAAATGTTGTACATTCCCTTTAAGCTAAAACATGTTACTGCTGAAGCCCACAGCTAGGTTGTCATCCTCCATGTCTTGTGTACTTAAGTCAGCCTGACCCTTGTAATCAATATCAAATGTAAACATACACTGATATTTAAGATAATGAATAAATCATTTCAGTCTTACAAAAGCCATGCGTTTGCATTTTTCTTTAATACAGGGTGAGTCAAAAAAGCGGAACTCAAACCCCCAAAAATATATTTCATATTTTAACAATTATGTATCACCAAAAATAAAAATGACTGGACGGCCAATTTCAGAAACTACTTGTAGATGAAAAAAATTACTAAAATTGCTTAATCCGTTGAAAGAATATCACCATATAAATGCAATGACCCTAAATCCTGTTTCATCCCAAAAAAAAGCAATTTATTGTATGTTCTGACTGTTTGGAACAACAAAGAAAATGGCACAGAATACTTGTTTCAGCAACTGTCAACAACGGAAGTACACAATATCTTTATTAACACCTTGCTTAGGCAAACAATATGATTTATAAAATCCACTTTTTTTTCAAAAGACGGGCCTTCAAAAGGACTTTGTTGAATATTGTTTTAATTTTCAACTGAGGTTTTATCACAGGTGATGTTTGAAGACAATTGTGATGACGATTCTTAAAATCGCATTTTTGGAAGAAAGAGGTTTTAGGGTCATTTAAATGGTGATAGACTTTGAAAGGATTGAGCAATTTAAGTAAGTGAAGTTTTTTCATATAAAAGTAGTTTATGAACTTAGCTTTCCATTCATTATTATTTTTAGTGCATTATTTTTTTTTTAATATACAATATATTTTTTGAGGTTGGTTTCCGATATTTTGACTCGCCCAAATAACAGTTATATGTTGCATTTATTTTTGACTTACAATAAAGCCCAAAACGAAACGATGATTTAAAAATGCGGTGTACAAGTACAAGTTGCAAGTTTTCTGGACATACTGTTGGTTGGCTTATTTTGTATACAATATCTATTTACTAAATGAACCTTTCTTATTAGCGTGGACCAAATCCTAGTAGATGTCCGACCTTAAGAGTTTATCTTATTGGGAAGCGATGGTCCGGTAGATTGTGCTTTAAAAAAAAGAATTTTCTCTTTATCAATATAAACATGTAAAACGCCATTTTCTTAATGCTCAAGACTTTCTTACAGATAGTTCATCTCGCGTGTTTGTTGATCTTAATCCGCGTGTCTGTAACCTTGTTGAAATAACTGCTTTTGGGGTTTCTCTCTTAACAAGGACTTGTTTAATTCGCTACGTCAGGCCGCATTATTTTTTTTTTCAGAAGTAACTCTTCGATTGCTGGGTAGTGGACACCTAGATTCTTATCAGATTACAATTTTTTTCAATTGCTCCACGTCACTTTCCAGTTGTTGATGGAAATTTCTAGAGCGTATACGCGTTGTTTTAGATTAAATCTGCTGATCCAAATCTATAAGATTCTACGAAAAGAACTAGGTTATCAAGTACAGCAACAACAACAAAAACGTGCCAGGTGAATACGATTTTCGAACTGAACAAATAGAAATTTTCCTCAACTTGACAGAAAAAAAATCTGTCAAGAATGCTCAACCTTGATCATATCAGAGAACAGGATTGAGAGAAAACACTCAGAAAAACCTCTTTCATCTTTAATTCGCGAAGAGAAAGTTGTTAATTTTTTTTAATTTTTTTTTTTTGGAAAAGAAATTCAGTTAATTTACCAGCTACTGAAAAAGTGAAACCATGTGTAATCAAATGTATTGTTTTAAGAACAGTAGTGTAAGAATCGAAGGCAGAAACTTCATCACATCAATTGAATGACGATTGGGTGCTATTCACTGAATGATCCAATTTCTGATTTAAATGTGTTGACAAACAAATGTCAATGTATTGAAATAAAATTAACGAACGCCACGAAAATGAATAAGAACCAATGAATTAGCAGTATGACCAGAATCGTTTGAATACGAACTCTCAAAAACGAATCTAAGCGTATTCCTGACGAAGTTGAGTTTGGAAAAACGTAAAGTTTCGTTTGGAGCAACAAAAGGGTTTATCATCTAAAGACGGGTGTGCTGAATTATTAGCCTCATGAATTGTTAGCTCTGTGAATGCTGTTTATTCCAAGAAAACAATATTATAGGATCTTGGTTTCAATTAAAAAGTAGCCGAGTCGTGTTTTGAATTGCGCCCAAAATCAGCATCCGGGAGACGTTCTCATTCAGCCGATTGCAGCTACTTAATTAAGCCAGTTAAGGCCAAACAAAAAAGTCTCCGGTTTCTGGTATGCGCGCGCGTCGCCGTAGCCATGCGCGTCGGCAAAATGAAAAAGTTTTTTTTTCAATGAAAGTTGATGTCTCAAAACCGCCAAACTCACTGGTTTGACTGGAATCCTGCTGCTGTACAATTTTAACGTGTTTTAGATTGGGTTATGGTCGAGAATAAGCTTTATGTGGCCTCTCTGATCTCCCATATATTTAAAGTTTAGTCGGGCACCATTTGCAGTCATCAGCCGACATTTGAAGCAAAAAAATCAGGTAAAAAAAAAAAAAAAAGCCGCGTCGCCGCACCACTTTTTGGGCAAGCTCCATGCCAGAAACTGGAGACTTTTTTTTTTGGCCTAAACTGACGAATATTAGCAACCGCTCGCGCGTATGCGTCGTGCCAACGCTTGCGCGCACCCATTCACTGATTCGCCGAATTTTAAAACGACTCCTAACGGAAATTTCCAAAAATGCGCCACTTGACGCATCTTTGGAAATGGCCTTCTTTGATCTTTTTCTTAAAAAATGACAGCAAGCCAGAAAGAATAATTTCACAGGGAGTTTATTGCCATTACTATATTTAAACCAAGCATGCTTTTCAACAATAATTTCGTTAGTAACTTTTTGGATAGCTGCAAATAATCAACTCTACCTTTAAAGCAGCTACTTTATATTATCGTTATTATTTATGTAAATGTTAAAGGGAAAATGCAACATTTGCAAACATCAAAAAATAAAACTACCAAATCATTTTGAAATACCTTGCTGGACTGTTAGTGAATGACAGTGTAAAGCATCCTGTAAAATCATGGCACCATGGTATACTGTCATTTTCAAGAAAAGTGGTATTTTTGTATCAATTTCCAACGCTGATCGGAAAAAAACTGGCTTTTTTTCAAATACTGGCCCCAATTGACCATCGCTAGACTGGTTCCCTGACCTTACAATTCCCCAATGTATGTAAACTGCTCTGTTTCTTCTTAAATGGAGTCAGGGAACCAGACTACAGGAAAATGATTGTTTTTCTTGGTTTTTATAGCAATTTTTGACCCAAAACCTCAAAAAAGTCAGTGTAACTATATTTGCTATATATTTCCAACCCCCCAATTCCATCCATTTCTGAAAATTACAGCAAAAGCAAATGAGTATATTCCCTTTAATAATGTTATTACTTATATTTTCTGGCTGTGCTGATGAAAACCCACACACGTAAACGAACCCGACTGGGCAATATTTACTCAGTGCCCGGCCAGCCTCGACTTATTGTGACAACTGTAAT